AATAACTTAAAAATGGCTTACATTAGAACGCTAAAACTTGTTTAACTTTTTCAACATCATAGTTGTAAACAAATTATGCTAAAATTTGTATGGTAGGTTAGGTTAGGTAGGTTAATTAATTAATACTTATATATTTGAAAGGCCATGCAAAATGGATATAATAACATGCGTCATATGTTAATATTTGTCAAAACTAAAAATATTTTTTTCAACATATTTTTTTCAACTTTTAAAAAAATCCTCTCTGACACGAGGGGGGAGTGCAAAAGTCCTCAATTGGTAATTACCGCCACCCAAACGTGTTTTGCGGCATACGCGCACCTCAATTAATAATCAGAAATAAAAAAAAGTTTACATTAAACCGTTTATTTCTTAGAAATAAGACAATATTCACCTCGGTTAATGTATCTATGGTGTACAATATTGTTAAAGCTTTCTTTATTGCTCCGCAGTTTCAAAAATAAGTCTATGAGTACGCCGCACCTAACAATTCGCCAAGTTAATGACTGCATTTCATGATTGGAGTTAAGATACAAAAAGGTTGGGCTGCCTGTTCACTAAAAATTATTTCATCCCGCCCAAAGTAATATCTATATGAATGAAAATTTGGAAGGAGCAACCCTCTATTTAAAGTGTTCCTTGTCCGATTTACAATGGTACCCTGTAAACTTCTGTTTGAGGAGTAATGAGGAAGATATCGACGTTTTTCCATCTTAACAAAATTTTTTGTTTAAAAAACTGTCTTTTTTAAAACTATCGTTTTAAAAACGACCATATCGTTTTTCGATTTTTCTTCGTCGTTTTTAAACAAAACGATAGTTTTTTATAACAGTGAAAACGATCCATCCCTTATCGGGCCCAAGTTTTGTTTGGGACCGGCCCAGGGAAGGTTTATGGATGCTTAGTATTAGAAAAGTTTGTCTCCGAAAAATTTTGCGAAAACAAAATTGTAAATCCGCACATTCTTTTATTGATTCAGCGCCTTTTTATCCTAGTAAATTTTATTTTACTAAATTAAATAAATTTAATTTTCTTTTTTAGGTTACAAATCCTGCATTCTTCCCTGAAGAATGGCCGGATGAGAAAATCCAGGTAAAAAATTTACATGAAAATTTTCAAAAAAAGTCAATAAGTGATAATAATCTGCCAAAGTGATTCTTTCAACATGTTATCATACAAAGTCCTGAAAAAGAGTTTTCGATTCTAGCATTTTGATAGCCATTTCTAAACGTTTTTGTATTTAGTTCTATCAAATTGATATCTGACGGTAAACTCTTCTTCTGTAAATCGAAAAATGTGATTGAAAATTATATAATTTTGATATAGTCTCTTAACGATCCAATTGTCTTTTGATATTCGATATTTCTAACCCAAGGATAGGATTTCGAACAGAATGTACGTATACTCCAGGTGTCAGTGAGAGGAAAACGAAACCCTCAAGCATTCTCTAAAACTCCCTTCGTTCTCCAGGAAAACAGACATTTTTCTAAATTCAAAATAAATAATTTTTTATTCACAGAAATCTATATCCCTCCTCCTTCCTGGAATTTTATCATTATAAACTCCTTCCAATCTCTCTATATCAACCCATTTCCCTCGTATTTCGTCAACCTTATCCCCTTTATACAGGTAACCCTTCAATCAAATTAACTCCCACTTCCCATCCCTAAATTACCATCGACCAACCTTAACCCTTCTTGAATCTATCTATGCTCACTCTTAAAGATTTCTTTTTTAACCCCATCCATCCCGTGCACATTTCGTCCACCCACCGCCCCTAATCCCTAAATTACCACCGACCTTAACCCTTTTAGAATATATTTAAAACTTGTTTAACCCTCTACGCCCCTGCACAATTTATCCCTTCCCATCCCCCCTTCTTAACATCTGACTACCCCCCCCCTTTAACCTCTGCCTAACCCCCCCTTTAAACCTCTGTTTAACTTCCAGGAGATCCTA